TGACCGAAGATCGACTTTTGAAACGATCAACCTCGCGTTATCGACCCGATCGCGCACGTACAAGCATATACACGCGCACGCACGCAGGCGCCCAACCATGCACACGAGCTAGTACGGATGCCCGCACGCCACGATGACGTACAGCCGGAACATCAACAAAACCAAAAAAAAAATATTAACACACAAATCTTTTTTTCCACCTCATTTCCTCCTACCACCCCTCGCGGTTAACTTGGGACCAGTCCGCTGGATCCCGGTCAATCACGATCGACGTATCGGGCACCCCTGCCTGAAAATCAGGCGTAATTCGCTGGCTAGCTTGGCGTTTAGCGCCGTTGTTTGCGCATGCGCGATGACGTAACGGTCATAATTTCAGTTGACATCTGACTGGTTGGCCTGTATGTCAATCAAGTAGCGGGTTTGATGATAAGAAAACCTTCATTTGTCTCACAACGGAGAAATTCCCAATTTACAGCAGCAAAAAATATAAAAGGGGGAAGTAGTAGAACAAAAAGTATATCGGAGTAGGACTAGATAAGTTATTTTCTTCTTCCTACTCCCTTGAACATAATTGTGTTGAATGATGACTGATTTCTCTTTCCTTTTACTATTTTACTGACCTTACTTTCTGTCAATTTATGACTGTATATGTTTTTATGTTCAATAAACAAACAAACAAACAAAATATCAGTAAATATAAATTATTTATAGGCAGGTCAGGTCTGTCTATTCAATAGGCTGACATCTAAGTTCTGCTGGACTTAGCGTAGTTGTTTGAATGGCAGCGCCACTGCCGAGGCGTTTTCAACGCTGGTCATGTGCAAGCCCGCATTCAACCTGCCAAAGAGCCGCATGCGGCTCGCAAACCGCGAGTTGGCCATCCCTGGTGTGTCGTATTGTTCCGTATAATAGTACGGAGCCCTGTATGGTCCTTGTAAGGTACGATGTAGTATTGGTGCAATGGGAAATCAACAAAGCATCCCTTTATTACTCAATCGATAATACCAACAATAACAAAAAAAAAAGACATAAAAATGAAATCGTAGTCTTTTCACTGTTCATAATGCATAATAATGAATTATATATAGCTGACATGTGCTCACATGTCCTTGAGAAGACTTGATGGGAAAACGCTTCCCCATGGCTGCACATTTTCCCCTTCACAATGTGACAGAGGAGCATCATGTTGCCTTCAGTGTGTCACTTATGTAAATAGCTTATCGCCTGTTGACTAAATCGCCCCACAGCTGTTTTTATTCCACGCTCACAATCGATGAGCATAAAAAGGAGCCATCAACTGAAATTGTGCATGGGCGTTTTTTTATTTTGGTGGGGTGGGGGGGGGGGATTAGTCTACCTCGTTCTTATTTGTCATCATATTCAAAATGAAGGCCCTTCTGCAAAGCTCAGTGGGGGTATCAACATCTTTCCAGTGAGAGTCGGCTCCCAGTGAGGAATGATGATGCAACACTCGTTTAGCCCCATTTTGTCTTTTATTTAAGTGCACAGGAAGCGCCTCGGGTACTTTTCGTGGGACGATTAGTCTTGCTGCAAAGAGGCAGGGTCAAAGTCTCAGCTGCCACCCCCCCTTTTCCCCGCAAGCGAGCACGGACACAGCGAGCATTTGAGGAGGATCATTTGTCTGAGAAGTTAGGCTGTGGGATGGGAGGGAGGCCCGGGCGTCCAGTTCTGTCACAGTGAAAGTTTGAAGTGCCACCCGGAAGGATCTCATTAGCTGCACTTTAAGGGAAACAATGGAACCACCATTCGTCATCTTTGGACAAGCGCTTAAGAATGCAGCCTAGGAAAAGTTTCATTTGTCACCCTGTGGAACTTTCTCCTCTCTCAAGTACCATCTGTCTGTCGAAGCCCTCAGGCAGAGTTAAGTGAACGCCCTCTTATTTAGTGCCCGCTTTAAAGGTTTTGATCCAAGGCTTTGGATTGATAGCTGCATCAGAGACCATTTGCGTACAGAGCAAATGTCATGCGGGTTTGTTTGGAAAGAGATCACCGGATTTTCTCTTTTAGTGTTCAGAACAGTGCTCACAACAAGAGCCAAAATTGAGCCCTTTTCTGTTTTCGCATCCCAGGATTGAAGAGTGGATGACGGCAACAACTCTATAGAATGGAACAAAATAGAATGGAGTAGATTTTAGAGCTGTTCTTTATTCTGACAGTGTCTACATAAATTCATTAATGAAGTGCAGTCCCCGTTTTCATATTACTGTTTAATGGGGAAAAAAAAGTTGAAGTGCTCAAGCCACTTTTTTTTTTTTGCATTATTATTAGTATAACGGTCGACTGGTTAGCGCGTCTGCCTCGCAGTGCAGAGGTGCAGGGTTCGATTCCGACTCCGGCTTTCCTGTGTGTAGTTTGCATGCTCTCCCCGTGCCTGCGTGGGTTTTCTGCGGGTACTCCGGTTTCCTCCCACATTCCAAAAACATGCAAGGCAGGTGAATGGAACACTTGAAATTGTCCCTGGGTGCGAGTGTGAGCGCGGATGGTTGTTTGTCTATGTATGCCTTGCGATTGGCTGGCAACCAGTATTGTTATGATCTAATTTATGACTTTCCTACTGATGTTTATGTCACACTCGTTTAGTAGAATTTTGTACAGTTGTCATGGTGAACACTTGAAAGACTGCAAGTCAAAGTGTTTAAGATGTTATCGGCTCTAATTAAAGTTGATGAAAAAAAAAGCCCTCAATCGTTTAATGGTTCATTTGCCTTTATTGAAGCATAAGCCGAACCTAGAGTATCAGACCCACACATTGATGAATAGTAAATCTAATGTTGTTTATTGTAATACAAATGAATTTATTATTTACAGCTTATTACTGTATTTTCCGCACTATAAGGCACTTCGGAGTATAAGGCGCACCTTCAATGAATGGCCTATTTTGAAATTGTTTTCATATATAGGGCGCACCACATTATAAGACACATAAAAGTTACAATAGTGGCTGCGGTTGCGTTATGCATCCACTAGATGGAGTTACGCTAAAGGAATACAATACAATATAGCTTCATTTATATAGAGCTTTCACAACCGCTGCAGCTGAAACAAAGCGCATGACAGAGCATTTAAAATACTACGTCAGAAATCAGAATATTGATCCATATATAAACCGCACTGGATTATAAGGCGCACTGTCGGCTTTTGAGAAAAGTGAATGCTTTTGGGTGTGCCTTATAGTGCGCAAAATACGGTAATATGATCAAGTTAAATTCCAATAATGGAGGAGGAGGGGGAAATCACAATTTGATTACTTTTCAAAATGGCTCAGCTTGAATAGGATGCCCCTTTTATTCAAAGCACAACGGAGAAATTCTGGATGCTCTTTGTGGTTTAAAACACTGCAATGAATGCAGAGATTAGTTTCTAAATACATTTCGCTGTATATGTTTGAACATAATTTCTGGAAATGTGCAAAGACCGAAAAAGTTGTCATGCTCAATTGCGGAGATATAGCATTAGCTTATTGGCGGGGGGGGGGGGGGGCGAAAACGATGCCGAGTGAACCCGAGTCTTCCTCTGCCATTGTATTAAAGCTTGAACGTCTTCATTCACATCAGCGGCTATTCATGGTAGGTAGCCCGCTAGCTACGCCTGCACCATGAAAATGTTCAGCTAATCCGCTGGCGTGGCTGTGAGTGCCTGCGTGTTACACAGAGAAAGGCGAAAATGCAAAGTGGTTAGCGTGACGAATTTAAACTTGACATTTCAAAACTGATATTCTACATTATATAAACGACTGCCGAAATCAACATAACAAGAATAGAATTCCAATTGGTTCATCTGCTTTCAACTGAGATGTTGATTGCAGCGGTGTTGCTGCTTGGTCAAACCCATCTACATTAGGTGAATGAATATAAATGCGTATGCGTACTTACCGTCATCTCTAATAAGGCCTCATTTCTGTAAAAGGTCACTTTTCCTCCGTCGAAAATCATTTGAGGTGCCTCAGCAGAACTCATGCAAAGTTGTTGGAATATTCATAGCCGTTTACCCAAGACACTAGATGATAACGTTCCATTTTTACAACCCTGCCATCATTTAATTTCAAATGAGCTTTGCAGGAGCCCGGCGGGTTTGAATCTTGATGCTGCACGGCAATTGTCATCATTTCCGGTGAGCTCGTAGGCACACGTGTATCATTGGGAGAGCTCGCATTCACTCCCTTTTATTCAGATTGAAATTTTGTATCATCTGAAAAATTAAGATGATGAGGAAGAGATGTGTAAGAAGCCTATCGCTTGGGATTCAATCATCTATTAGAGAACAACTTCATGATGTCATTGTGTATGTAACCAAACCACGCCACTTTTTCATACAAACGTCTCTCTCTCACACACACACACACACACACACACACACACACACACACACACATATACATAAGACATTTCACTTGAAGTGATGATGCTAACGAGCTACCTCCATGTTGAAGCAGACTGAAGTATTTTTCAAAAGGGTACTTTGGGGTACTTTAAACCGCCTGATCAAAGTTTCCAAGTTGATCTGCTGAGCGAGATTACAATGATGGATTCTGCCATGGAGGAGACGGCTCGGCTTGACACTTGAGTTTTGGTCTGTCAATCACAACAGGAAATTAAACGATATCAAGACTTTCCAAAGTCAAACTTCTCCCATATACACAGATGCAAACTCTCGATTTAGTCACGTCCAAAGCTGCAGTATATTACTGATTTATTTGGAAAGATAACGCAATGCTTTTGTAAATACACACAGGCCTGCCCCCCCGCCTCGTCCCTATGAATTATGAATCTGCAATGTTATTTGTTTACTCAGAGTTGGACGGGAAGATCTGCATTATTCATTAGCTCCGCCAGGGTGGACAACAGAGGAAAACGCTAAAAGAGAAGTCACGAAAATCAAGACTAAACAATTCAAATGTTTCCCCAGCAATATGGCAACCCACTTCTCGCCCACCCGACAGCCAACCCTGAATTAACTCACTCTTGTGTTTTTGTCCGCAGTCCTCCGAGATGATTTCCGTCAAGCCCCGAGTGACGTGGTGGTGGCCGCCGGCGAACCTGCCGTCTTGGAGTGCGTGCCGCCGCGTGGTCACCCGGAACCCCTGGTGTCCTGGAAGCGCAACAATGTCAGGGTCAACACGAAAGATGAACGCATCTCAGTGAGTGATGGCCAAATATTGAAGCCCCACCATGAAGGGGAAGTCAACTCCAAAAACGTCTTTCCAATATTAGCTTCTATGTTTCCCCAACTCGTCTAAACAAGGCACTCTGATGAATTTTGCATTTGTGGAACATGAATTGAGGCGCAAAATCCACAGGTTTTTATCGATCTCAGGCTTTGCTCTTGAAATATTCACATTTTTCTGTTGAGTCTGACCTTTTCCCCAAGACTGAAGTACAATTTTGTTCTTCAATCCTTATTACCGCATTGGCCCGAATATAAGACGGTGTTTTTTGAATTGAAATAAGACTGAAAAAGTGGGGCTCGTCTTATATTCGGGGTCTAGACATTATACCCATTCACGACGCTAGATGGCGCCAGATATCATTGAAGCGAATGCTGAACTTGACTCTTCAGGCCAAAGTGAACTCCTGCCACGAAGAATAAAAATTAAAATAGTGGTAGCACGAAGAAGAAAAATAAAAAAATAGCGGTAAGAATGAAAAGAGAAGAAAATAATAGAAGAGATAACAGAAACGTAGTGACAATCTGGAGAAAAGTGGATCGAAGATCGGCCAGGTTAACCGGCAGCTGAGGAGAAGTTATGTCATTTACATCTCAAAAACCAGAAGCCATTCATTTACGAATGTGATTGCACGTTAGATATGAATGAGGCAAAATAACATGCTTTTTCTCTCAAATATATTGTTATAATCATTTGTTTCAGATGCACTGTAATTATTTTCTGTATAAAAATTAATTTGGTGTTCAAAAAGTCTTTTTTCAAACTTGAGTCTTGAAAAAGAGGGGGTCGTCTTATAATCAGGGCCGTCTTATATTCAGGCCAATACGGTATTTTTATTGTGTTATTATTTCATAAAATCGACTTTGTTGTTGAATTATTTCAATTTCAACATGCTGACTTAGCTGTATTGTTTGAGCCATCCATTCGTACATTATTTCAACCGCTTTATCCTCACGACGGTCTCGGGCGCGCCGGAGCCTAGTCCAGCTGTCTTCGGGCAGTAGGTCAAGTCAACCCTGAACTGGAGAAAACCCACAAATGTTTCTTTCAAAAATCCTGCTTGAATATGAAAAAAAGCTGCCTTTGCGAATTAACAGTGATGCGGTTATTTTTAGGTGCGCGGGGGCAAGCTGATGATCTCACACACCAGGAAGGGCGACGCGGGCATGTACGTGTGCGTGGGCACCAACATGGTGGGCGAGCGCGACAGCGACCCCGCCGAGTTGGTGGTGTACGAGCGACCCGTGCTGGTGCGCAGACCGGTCAACCAGGTGGTCATGGAGGATGACACCGTCGACTTCCTGTGCGAGGTCCACGGCGATCCTCCTCCGACTGTGCGATGGCGGCGAGAGGATGGGGAACTCCCCCGAGAGAGGTGGGGATGAATGATTTTGAAAAATAATTTAATTCAGATTTTTTTTTTTTAAATCTCAGTATTGCGATTGAATATGCAGTGATTTTTTTTTCAAGGTCCTCTTCTTTTGCATTTTTTTAACCAACACAAGCAATAAATTAATCTCCATTATAATTAATAATTTCATATTGATCATGCATTGTTTTGGTTTTATAGGTGAGGCTCAGGTCAGGCAGGGTTTAGGAATTTATAGGAAGGAATGTTCCACATGTGACCGAGAAGATGTGTACTCAATTACTCGTGGATGAATATGAGTGTGTGGATTGGTGGGTTGACATAACTTAATAAAGAAGGGACCATAAAAGGATTCATTAGCTGGCTGAATTATCCTGTGACCGATTTTCTTTCCCCCTTCTTCTTCCAACTCAGTATGTAGTATACTTAGCGAAGGCTATTAAATAATTCTGCATTTGCTCGCTTTGAAGTTTTGTTCATATCTGAGATTCATTGCTGAGGATTAGTTTAATGTCTCATTGGAATGACTTTCCATTCTTTGCAACACAGGCAACCGTTTGAGCTTATTACGCACATTAATACCAGCTTGGCTTCTTCAAGGGGAAGTCAACCCAAAAATGTTCTGCGCAATAATAAGTTCTATGCAGCCTTCATAGTCTAAGCACAGCATTGTGATTAATATTGCGTTTGTGGAAAATAGGAGTGAAGCGGTAAAATCCACCCGTTTTTGTCCATCTCAGGAGGACGGTCATTTTGCCACTTGTTGTCGACTGAAAATGACATCACAGTTGCTCTCGGCTCAGGTAACAACCACTTTGACTCAGTTTCAGAAAACAGGTGAGATTCGAGCAGCTGTGATGTCGTTTTCAGTTGGCAGAAGGTGGCAAAATGGCCGCGCCCTGAGTTGAATGAAAATGGGTAGATTTTGCTGCTGAATTCATATTCCATAAACACACAATTGTAAGCATAATGCCATGTTTAGGCTAGTGGAGGCACATTTGTCAAGAAAATTTGGGGGTTGACTTCCCCTTTAAAATCAGTGCAAATGATAGCATCGCTTCCTCTCTCCGTTTGTTAGGTTTGAGATCCGCAATGGAAACAGCCTGCGTTTAGTCCACGTGAAAGAGCACGACGAAGGAACGTACACGTGCACGTCAGAAAACAGCGTGGGCAAGACGGAGGCCTCGGCCATGCTGCAAGTGCATGGTAAGCAGCACGCCGTGCATTTTGGATGCCGGCTGAACATGCATGAAAACGTGGTGCAGTTCACTCATATTTTTATTTTTCTCAAGATTATAAAACTTTTCTTTCAATTATGACTTCATTCTTGTCTTTTAAAATTCTGTAAAGAATTACTTAGTCTATATAAAATATAAAAAAATATTTTTAAAAAGTTATTCTACCAAGGCTATGGCATTTGCGTTTGCATTTTAAACAATTTTTTATTTTAAAAAATTATATATTTTCCTAAAATTGAAAGATTGTTTTACCCCCTCCAAAATATATATTTTCTGGAAAATAAAAATATAACTTTTTCTCATGTTTTCTTCCTCAGAATTAGTCTTGTAATTTTTTTTTTCCCCATAGAAAAATACAAACTGATTCCATTTTTTCGAAATGCAATACGAATGTTTGTTTCAAAACCTTTTTTTCCGAAATATACCTTCATTTTTGTAAGTGTGATGTTCCGGAATATTACAGATCAATTTAGGTCGCTGGAACATAGAACCAGGAAAAAGTATAAGGAACAAAAAGCACTTGCCCCTCGAGAATAAGCACTTGGTATGAGAGTCGTGAGCAAGGCGAATAATCCGACAGCAAATTGTAGGCGTGGCAGTCTTCAAGTCGTCCACTGATGATAATGCATGACAGGTGCGGCGCTGGACAGAACGCCCTCCACTCCTGCCGGAAACTGAAACCAAAACAAAGAGAAACATGCTGTCATTGGATTATAAATTGAAAAATAAATGAATATTTCTCTCTCTCTCTCTCTCTCTCTGTAAATATAAAAAATTGACTTTGTTCTTATCTTTACATTTTATTTGTCTTTATCTATGTCTTTCAACACTACAATTTAAATCTCTTTCATTTGATTTGTGGCGATAGCGGCGGGGGCATGTTTTTAGTGTAGCACTAATACTCTGTTCACATCCACAGCTTCTTCACACGTTGAAAAAGAAAAAAAAAAAAATCTGGTCATTTGCTGTCCAGTGCTTGTTTGGGGCTAGCGTTCAGTGCGTCAATCGGGATTACGCTAAACTGTTGGGATTATGTCATTTGACAGATGTTTGCTGGACGTGCACTCGAACTCCCTGATGGCGAGCAGTCGCTGCATTAATAAAACATGACTCCTCTTCCTCTTCCCCTGCCCAGTCTTCCTCGCGTTCCGAGCTTCTCCTCCCTGTGTCTTGATTTAAATGCGTTCCTCCACTAATGCTTTTATCAGTCTAAATGAAATCCAATCCCGGCAAATTGCCATTCTCCCCTATTCACTGTGTGTTTTTTCTTTTCTCCATATTATCAGCGCTTTTGTGATGTAGCTGCGTGTTTCATCCATCTCATTAATTTTCCATCTTGCTCTGTCTTGTTTCAAACGCGATCATCATTCCAGTTGGCCGGCTGTGTAACTTCCACTCCCCTTTTCCACCCCCATGCTGTCTCGTTTCGTATTCTTATTTTCCTGTTTGACAGACAGCGCCCCTTCCTTCGCTTTCAGGGGCACAGAAAAAAAAAAAAAAAAAACTCAAGATAAGCACAAGACCAAATTGAAACATCACGGGCTCAGAAATCCTCCCATGTCTCCGTTTGTCCTTCTATTGCCTGAATTAATTCTCACTCTGGACTCTTCCCCCGTAGCATTTCTTAGCATCCAATTAGTGCAATTACCTAATAACAGAGATGGGAAACATTTGACTCAAAACTGGTCTGATATACTTTAAAAGCAATATTATTATTGCTTTGACTTATACAGAGTACAATATAAACAGTGATGTCTTCCCTGATTGTTTTTTTTATGTGTAATTTTTTCCAAAACAGTTTAAAAATCAGCTCATGAGGGACTCATGAGAGGATGACAAAATGGGCAAAGTGTCTTACTACTGCTCTTACAATCTGTGTGGTGTACTCCGGATGGTCAATGTAAGGATTTTTGATTGTCAATGTTGAACGGGTTTAACATTGATGATTGTCAGCTGTTTTCCGAGCAGACAATTCGTTTTTAACACACCCCACAACACAGAATAATCACTCAAGAACATCTTTCAAAGATATCTAATACTGTGCATAGGACCTTTGCTGATTGATTGGAGGGTGACAAAAAAAAATAAAAATAATAACAATCCTCAAATTAGGCATGATTGTTGGTAGGTGACAATGTGTAGTGTACTTGAAATGACAACTGCAGTGATTATTAAGTGCAATCTTCAGATCGCGTCCTAATCTACGATGGTTTCATTTCACATCACAATCACTGACCACACATGGACGCATGTCATTGTATTTATGTTTAACACCAGGTACCAAATTCTTTGGAATTGTGGTCTGTGTGGATCCCGCTTTCAAAAGAACAATCCCTGAAAGACTAATAAAGTAGGAGGAAGAAATTGTGACCGCTAGTGCAATCATGTCATCCATGGACTGGACCCCCAATTATTTTGGTTCTTATATTTCTTACAAACTTACCTCGGAAAGCCTGAAGATCTATTTTGGGAGTAGAAACGTGACTGGTAGCATAGAACACAGAACTTGCACATTTTAGCCTTAATATTCTCTAATGTTAAAAATTTGTCGTGTTCTTGACAAAGTGTGAATAATACACACAGGCATAGTGGAATAATTAAGTAAAACTATTGCCAAAAGAACAAGTTTAAATGCTTATAAATGTGCCAGCAACAGCATTTGTGTGTGTGTGTGTGTGTGTGTGTGTGTGTGTGTGTGTGTGTGTGTGTGTGTGTGTGTGTGTGTGTGTGTGTGTGTGTGTGTGTTGAGGCAGCAGCGTTGTGTTTGCGTGCATATGTGGACAAGAGCAGGCGAGGCAGGAGAAGCTCTGCGCTCAGAGGCGAGTGTGTTTGCCAAAAAAAAAGTACGGGCGATGGAAATCAACATGAAGAGATGGCATCATGTGACTCACGGAACTCAATGTTTCACACCATACTCCAAATAAACAATGTTGACACTCCCTTTCATTTCATTTCAAGTTGGTGATTCTCCCCCCAAAATGTCCATGCATTCATTTTTTACCACATAACTGTCAAGTAGAAGTGAATCCAATTTTGTCGTTCTTTGTTCTCTGGCAGTACGACAAGTCTCAGGATGTGTCACAGCCAATGCGTTTTAGGGTGTGTTCAAAAATTCATTCTGGTGCCCTCACACGACTGAAGAGTGGGTGTGTTCGGAGAGGCAGCACATGCAATTTATATGACAGGGGTGCCCAACCTGTTTTGACCGACGATCGACTTTTCAAGCAACCGACCCACTGCGATCGACCCGCTAACCGCGCGTGCACGCATACACACACGTGTGCCATGATGAGCCACAGCCATAACAGGCCTCGAACATGAACGAAACAGAAAAATAAAGTCGATACAAGATTTTGTGAGTTTGTAAAAAGGAATCAGTGCCTACCTTTGTCGAGACCAGACGCGGCGGCACGGGACGCCCTTTGGCAGCGTCTTGAGTGCAACGTCACTATCATAGCTTACGTGTACCGTTTGAAGATGCTTCTCCTGGCGCTCCAAATTCCCATTCGTTGCCAGTGCCATCGGTGAATTGTTCATGGAACAAACTGAATGCGGGTAATAAAAATAAAAAAGATATGAGGCAACAGCTGTGATCGCAAGCTGCAATTGCAGACTGCTGGCCGCGAACAACTTCCGGTGATGCAGGTCGCGCACCGCCGTCGGTTCCAGGTGACCTGCTTTGCGATATTATTTTATTTTTTAAATACTTTTTTTGTGAAAGTGAAACTGAGAGGTTGCATAGGGTGCAGTGTGTTATTTTTATGTCCATCTACTTGGGACTAGTTTGGGGGCAACTGGTCGATTGCAATCGACTGGTTGGGCACCCCTGCTGTATGATATAAATCAATCAGCAGCTTCTGCTTGAACTGTTTCCGTCTGTTCTGCCTGACACTCTTGAGCGCGCTCTGTCCCCAGTTGGAGTGCCAAGAACACGCTCCGGCACGCCTTTCTTGAGACACTCTGAATAACTGAACAGCGTATTTGAACATCACTCTGAGTTTCCAAATGGTCGGCGTGAAGTAGAGCAAACTTGGAGAGTCTTTCTGAACGAACCCTTAACCTTACTTGCTGTCCTTGCCTCTCTCTTAGCTTTGACCACATCAGTGCCCATTGTGTTAAATTTTTTCTGACTCAAATCTCTGCTGCAGTATGCCTATCTAACTCAACTATAGCAACGAAAACCACCCACTCACTCACTTGCTCACTAAAAGGCGATTACTGATGCATATTTTTTCCACAACATTTTTTGTTAACACCAAAGTGGAGCTCTTTTAGGGCTTTGGAGGTTCCACTATCCATGATCTGATAGTGTGAGATCAGGGGTCGGCAACCTAAAATGTTGTAAGAGCCATTTGGATCTCTCTCTCTCTGTCTCTCTCTCTCTCTCTGTCTGTCTCTTTCTCTCTCTCTCTCTCTCTCTCTCTCTCTCTATCCATCCATCCATTTTCTGATCTGCTTGATCCTCACGAGGGTGGCGGAGGAGGGGTGGGGGGGGTGGAGCCTACCCCAGCCGTCTTCGGGCAGTAGGCGGGGGACACCCTGAACCGTTTGGCAGCCAATCGCAGGGCACACAGAGACAAACAACCATCCGTGCTCACACTCACACCTCAATTCAATTTAGAGTGTTCAATCAGCCTGCCATGCATCTTTTTGGAATGTGGGATGAAAACTAGAGCACCCGGAGAAAACCCACACAGGCCCGGGGAGAACATGCAAACTCCACACAGGAAGGCCGGAGCCGGGATCGAACCCACGGCCTCTGCACTGTGAGGCCGATGCGCTAACCAGTGGCACACTGGGCCGCCCTGTGTGTGTATATCTATATTTATATTTATACATCAGGAGCTGCAAAACATTAAAAGCCTTTTTAGCCTTATAATGAAGCTAACACACGCCGTATGTATCTATATTACCCTACCATTAAAATGACTAAATTGGCTACAAATACACAATGAGCCTTCTTGATTAATTTTTTTTCCTACAGTGCATCCTGTAAAGCCGGGATGCCCAACCTTTTTTGATCGAAGGTCTACTTTTCGATCAACCAACCTCCCGCGATCGACCCGTTACCACGCATACGCACGCATTTTTACAATAGCCACCTGCCTGACATCCCGCCCTGCTAATAGAAACATGTCGCAGGCTATGACGCATATCTTCATTGACAGAAATGTTGAAATTTACTATTTTCTCTACACATTTTACAGCGCTGTAAAAGGTTAAGAATGTTTGTGTCACGTTTCACATCCTACAGAAACCATATTAAAACAAAAAAATATATTTCCCTCTCCTATCTTTTTCCATTTTCAAACATTTTTGAAAAAGCTCAAGGGGGCCACTAGGGCGTGCTAAAGAGCCGCATGCGGCGCTAGAGCCGCGGGTTGCCGACCCCCGTGTTAGATGCTCAAAATGTGCCTGCTTGCAAACATAAGGCCGGACTAAAAGCCATGAGGTTTAATTGCCTATTCATCATTGATGAGTTGTGCAATCTTATGTGTGTTACGGGAAATGATGACAGTGAGAAAACGAATATGCTTAACAAGCCCGTCTTCTGTTCCTTAGTTCTTGTCTTCTTCTCTGCAGTGTCACCTCAGATCGCAACCAAGCCGCGGGACCAGATCGCCTCCCAGGGGAGGAGCGTCGCCTTCCAGTGCGGCACCACGGGTAACCCCCCGCCTGCCATCTTTTGGCAGAAAGAGGGCAGTCAGGTGAGGAATTTAAATTGTCGCTTGAATGGCAAGGTGACTCGAAGCAAAACTTGTGACACCTTTCTTGGAAGACATTGCGGCATACGGTGGAAGGAGCTTGTGTTGAGCGGATGGAAGGAAAGGTGGAGGAGGAAGTACAGCAGGTGTGTGAAGTTCCTCTGCGGGCATGACTCGAAGACAAACAGTGTCCTCCTTCCACATGGCGGCTGTAAATAATCAGCAACAGGAAGCTGCTTCAAATGTTTGTTTGTTTCTTTTCTCTGCCTCAAGCCAACTGGGAACTTGGTCTGTTTTTTTTTTTTTGATTGTTTTTTGTTTTTGTTTTTTGGGGGGAGGGAGGTGGACTGGGTCACAGGGGGGTCTCTTTGTGGGGATTATGTGCAGCCTTCTAACCCTGGTACTTCCACTCAACTCTAAGCCTCTTACAGGAATAACATGCATGGGGGTGCAAACACATCTATGCGATTTCCCACTCTGGAAAATGGAAAAAAAAAAGTATACAACATTTAAGTGGCCATCATGCGGAAAACATCAGAAGAGCTCTTGCTAACCTGGTTTTATTATCCCACATTTTCGCAGACAAACTCCTCTGTTTTCCCAAAAGTGTAGTAACGACATCAGTTCATGAATACTTTTGTCTGCTGAGCCTACTTGAACTCTGCTGCTAATCAAAACCACCGCATAAGAAATAGTCTCATATAGTGGCTGTCCAACTAGTGCACTTTATATTAAAAAAAAACAAATCTGTCTGTAATCACCTCAGTTCTAAACACAATTGTCTTCTGAGCCTCGTTTAACTCGGTTGCTAACCAAAACAGCAGTGCCTACCCATATTCTACTCAAATAGTAGCCATCCGTCTAATCGCCATCTCATTATATCCATTTAAAAAGATGGTGAAAACTATAATTATCCCACGTCACAGAGGCACCGTTGCATGCTGAGACCATTTCAGCTCTGTTGCTCGCCTAAACATAAGCACTTAGCTATTTCCTCAAATAACGGCCATCCCTCGAAGATGCTCCTCCCTTTTCCCCACTTAAGCATCGAGGCCAATCTAATTATCTCATCAACGTAATTATTTGTCCTTTCTTATTTGCGAGGGCAGATCATACTTACTGTATATGACCGTCATGTTGTCGCTGTTGTGTGTTTTAGATGTTGCTGTTCCCTGGCCAGCCGCCATCCCAATCAGGTCGTTACACCGTGTCCATGAAAGGCGAGCTGACCATCACTGACGTCCATCCGGAGGACTCTGGCTTCTACATCTGCCAGGCCATCAGCGTGGCGGGAAGCGTGCTCAGCAAGGCCTTACTGGAGGTGGAAGGAGGTACGATTCACCGGATCTGGTTGAACCATCTTGACCTTTCACCTCATCATATAAGTTTGTAGTGAGCGATAATTCTTGTGGGTGGCAGACTCTTTGGCACCACCGGTAAACAAACCCTTACGTGTTGTCTGACAAAGGCAGAAATATCCAGAAGACAGGGTCAATTGTTAGCCAGCCGAAATTGACAACAGTTCATTAAAAAAATTCTGACATACTCACTGAGGGACTGTCTAATTACTGTAATGGCCTCTCTATTGTTTGGACTAATGGAGCAGAGGGGCTTCTTTTTCCGTTGAAATTAACTAACATTAACTACAGGCTAGCCATTATTTTTCGCTAAATTACTCAGACAAGCCAAATCAATATTTGATACATAGATGTAAAAAGATGCCTTTCACAAACCGGATGATAGAGGTCATTCTGATCAATCCCTCCACGGTAGGACCTTCAGGCCAGATCCCTCCAATCATTCGCCAAGGCCCTGCCAATCAAACGATGTCCCTGGGCGCCACAGCCCGCCTGCACTGCCGAGTCATCGGAGGACCCTCGGTCAGGATTTCTTGGGAGAAGGACGGAGACACGATTGAGGCAAACGATGCTCGCTTGACGGTGGCGGCGAACGGCACGTTGGAAATAAGAGACATAAAGGTGAGTGACAGTTGGGTGTACTGAAAGGCAAAAAAAGCCAAATTGATTCTTTTTAGACTTGCTTTACGATTATGTTGACAACCACTGCACAGACCACTCCAGTATTTGAATGACTTCCGATTTTTTTGTCGTCAACGCTAAAATGATGATAGAGCAGTTACCATTGATTAATCGATGATGTAATTGATATTTTTTTTTCCAGGCATCAACTCACGGTGTGCACTTTTTGCTCTCCAAACACGCTTGCCCCCATGCTTGCACTGGGCCCCACCCCAACTCGTTTATTCAAACACATTCTGACTGGATCTCAGTCAATTAACATTCTGAAAAAATTGTGGACTCGCAGACAGTCGGAACACATCAAACCAATTCATGTGATTGCCAATTGAATTTAAATGCCAGCCATATTGAGTGCCAGCCAATTTCGAGCATTCTGACTTGTCTTTCATGGCTCAACGAATATTGTGTTGGCGCTCCTCGTCAGGATTCAATTGACTCAAATAGTTAAGTCTGCTTCAAGCTACTGTCGTCATTGCCAAGTGGTCGGAGTCCACACAGCGACTTGCTGTTAATGCAGACACCACTCGTTAGCATCAGATGTTATAACGAAGTATGCAACCATGGCTTAAATCCACTATTGGCTGAGTAACAGTTTACCTTAGATGTCCACTTTATAATTTTATATTGCTCTGTTTTGATTCCCTAAAAAGAGCTGTTAAAGGAGCTGTTGTGTGATAAAATATTTTTTTCACTGTTGTTGATGGACAGTAATATTGTGTGAGAGATTATGTGTGAATAACTGCTCCACGTGAAAAATGTTCATGTAAAATTGAAAATCGAAATTGTTGTTTCAGTAAATATTTGCATTTCGCACATAGAAGACTGATCCATGATTCCATGTTGATGGGAGCATTAAAACGGGAAAAAATAAGATAAAAAAACATAAAAGGAAATTTAGAAACGATAAAAAATGTGTGAGTAATCACAATTAATTATGAGTTATTATGAGTTTATTATTACAGTTCCGTTTTTAATTAAATATTTTAATCGTTTGACAGCTCTAATATATATATATATATATATATATATAAAATTAAAAGCCTTTTTAGCCTTACAATGAAGGCAACACACGCCATATGTATCTATATTACCCTCCCACCAAAATGACGAAATTGGCTACAAATACACAATGAGCCTTCTTGATTCATTTTTTTTTCCTACAGTGCATCCTGTAAAGCTGGGATGCCCAACCTTTTTTAATCGAAGATCTATTTTTCGATCAACCAACCTCCTGCGATCGACCCGTTATGAAGATATCAAGGTCAAATTATGAACAGTTTAAAGTCTCTGAATAGGTTTCAGGTCAAAGGTAAAGGAGCCTGTCTGTCCTTCATCCTCCTTTTAGCTTTCCTCCCGAAATTCAAGTCGCCTTTCATGCCAATTTCCAATTTGGTTCATAACATTCAGAGTGAGTTTCCAAGAGCGATGTCTCTGAGGTGGCTCTTATCTCTCTCCGTTGCAATTACGTGCTCAAGCGGTGTATAATTGTAATGTTAATGAAGGCTCCTGTTTGCACATGCTAATGCACTGTGCTTTGATGAAGGAGTGCGCGCTACGGGTGCCGTAACCCCCACCTGGAGGGTGGCGAGGCGGCATCCTTTATCCTTAATTGACTAGAGATAGCCCATTAATCATCTTAACTCGCTTCTAATTAAAAGGCCTGCTTTTTGGCTGCTCTCGTAAACTTAACATTAAGTTTTGCTCCAGTGCACCACTGAGAGGAAGAGGAAGTGGTTGATCTGCCGCGGCAATGTGCTCAATGGAACAGAAGAGATGCATTAGTGGAGCATCGTGTGGGTGTCAAGGGAGTACTAAAAAAAAAAAAGAGTAGAAATGAAGATGACGCGTCAGGGACTAAAAATATTTACCCCGCCGGTGCACCGACAGCGTGCCATCAATATTTCATTGAGGAGCTGAAGTCATCTGGAGATGTTCACCCGCTTGCATACCGCCAAGGTCAACACTCCGGAGCATGATCTCATGAGGTCTCTGGATCTTTGCTGCAGTGCAGTGCGGCAGGAGTCCTGGTACTAACTGCTACAGAATGGGGTGCCCTCGTGACAACACAGGATTACTGTTTGAAATACAAATAGAAAACACTCAGGTGAAGAGGTTTACAGACGTTTATATAATACAGTAATAATACAAATGATAGAGGATTATATTGTACAGGAGCACCATGTTGGAAGAATCCGGAACAAAAAATAAGTCTATTTGCGTTTGATGCCATCACTCATTTGCAATGTAAGAGAAATGGATAAGCTTCTAGGAATCATTTGTTTGCATGAACTGCTCCTTTATTTTTTTTTTCGATTCCCATCCCTAACCTCTGTCCACTTGGGCCACAGGGGCACCCACCGGCCTTGCCATACCTTACACTATGACACAACTCAACTAATTTCATTTCTAAAGATGTTTGTTTTTTTTTTTGTTTTTTTTTAATCAGCTCCATGCTGTCACTGTTCAATCTTTTTGTTGTTTATTTCCACCTATGAGCAGAACTACTATTTTTTTCCTTCTTTTGTGATTTCTGGTGCTGTATTTTGCACCCCCGAATTGAATGAAAAGGGATTAGTGTCTGCCTGGGTTTTCTCCGGGTACTCCGGTTTCCTCCCACATTCCAAAAACACGCATGGCAGGCTGATTGAACACTCAAATTTGTCTTTAGGTGTGAGTGTGAGTGCGGATGGTTGTTCGTCTCTGTGTGCCCTGCGATTGGTGCGCAACCGGTTCAGGGTGTCCCCCGCCTACTGCCCGAAGACAGCTGGGATAGCCTCCAGCACCCCCTGCGACCCTTGTGCGGAGAAAGCGGATCGGAAAATGGATGGATGGATGGATGATTACTTATAAGGCAGCACGGGAGAATGCTTTGCTCTGCCTGGAGCCAGATTAAGGTAGTGAAAGATCTCTCAGCTTTAGCTGTCAGCGAAGGCCCCTCAGGAGAGCCCCAAACCATGAAATTGTTATCATGAATTTGGTGGTATCCAGTCAGCAGTTTTATATCTTCCATATGTTTGTGGTCTCTGTAGATTGATGTCCTTTTCCCAATTTATGTCACTTGTCGTCCTCAAATGCTGACTTTGGAAGGAAGCGGACTCGGGCATGTACACGTGTGTGGCGTCCAGCCCCACCGGGGAGTCGAATTGGAGCGGGATGCTTACTGTCAGAGGTACTTGGTCTCTGTGTTACCGAACACATCATTTGCAAAACCTCTCACTGTCCCAATCCTCAACAGAAGGCGCTGTCTCGTCCCCGTCAAGAATTTCCGAGTTCATCCAGCTGCCGGGACCACCGCAGAAGCCCGTGGTGACCGACGTGACCAGGAACAGCGTTACCCTTACCTGGCAGTCCAACCCGCACGAGGGCGGGGCCGCCGTCACCTCCTACGTCCTCGAGGCCTTCAGGTATGGGCGGCAACCGGTCTGTACTCAATGGTCACTTTATTAGGTACACCTGCGCCACCTCATGCAGTGGTCGGAAAAGAAAGAAATGCTTGATACATTTCTGGTCATGTCAGTTAAAATTTTGCATGATTAAATAATATTATCATTTGCTGGTGCAACAATTGTAAACATCGTCTTTGCAGTGGTACTCCAGACAGACAATTAAATGTTTACAAAGTTTTCGGGGTGGTTCGCCAGTGGGTATTATCAAGTGCAGTCCAGACATTCGGCTTCAGCACTTTCCACCCTTTTTTTCTTCAAAGAAAAGATCGCCAGTTCTTTTTAATGCACCCCGGCACTGTGTTGCTGTCTGTTTTAATCTGTAACTTTTTTTTCCCAACCTATTGAAGCCTGGCCTCTTCATCTCAAACCATTTACATTTCACCAATGACTCATCGGTGCCAAAGGGCGTTCTGCTTCTGTTTAGTGACATGAAGCGACACTGGCTGCGTCGGGAAAGAGATTCAAAAGCAAGACTGGGAAGTTTATTGTGGAAGATGAGAAAGGGGTGACCAAATTATCACGGCAATTATTGTGGATTCACCAATTCGGATTTTTTTCCTATATTTTTCGTTTCCGGTAATTGATTTTGGCTGTTTTTAAAACAAAAATAAAAACAACAACAAAAAAACGACAGAGGTACTAATTCAATTTCTACACTTAAGCAAAAGTAAAAAAGTACAAACCACTAAGTGCAAAAGTAACAATTGTATCCGCACTGACAGTTATAAACAAGTACCACCTAATAAGTGATAAAAGTAAAAAGGCGTCAGATCAATAAATATTTGTGTAAACAGATGGGATTTATATTTCAGTACTTTCCACCACTGGTGGAAAAGACTTCCTATTTGTTAATACGGCTGTAGTTTATTACTGTAATAACATTTGATGGCGTGTGATTTCAAATGTCATTGCCTCCGCAACTTTCATCCCGCTTATCATTCTACTAGGATTACCTTGTTATCAGCAGATAGCGTGATAACAATGCTATAACATGAGCACACAAAGGGCAGCCAGTTTCCAACGTTGTGCGTTTTATTATCAGCATCAGCAGGCATCCCTTCGGGTTCACCTTTAGGTGTGACATGACGTCTCGTTTTGTCCGCCATCAGCGAATTCGCTCATTTGTTTGGCAAATTCACAAGCGCAGTGAGGGCATTTTGTTTGACGGCTTGATTGATTGTCACCCGCAGCCAATCGGTGGGAAGCACATGGCAGACGGTGGCCGACCACGTGAGGCATGAGCGGCACACCGTCGTGGGGCTCTTGCCCAACACCGTGTACCTCTTCATCGTCAGAGCCCTCAACTCATACGGCCTGAGCGACCCCAGCCCCATCTCGGAGCCTGTCAGGACGCAAGGTGAGATCCAAAACCCTTAAGCATCCTTATGCCAGATTTCAAAAAAAAAATAAAAATACAGTCAAACCTGGTTTTCATCCATAATCCGTTCCAGAAGGCTGTTCGAAAACCGAAACCACGCTCTTTAAAAAAAAAAAGTTTAGTGAACACGTCTGTCTACTCACAATGGAAAGCGACACGAGGAAGCCTCACTTCCTCGTCTACCCGAGGAAGCGTCATTTCCTCATATAAGGAAGGCGAGAGGAGTCAAGTGGTGCATTCAAGTGCGCTCAGTTTGTTTGAGAAGCGAAATTTGTTCGTCATCCGAGGCATAAAAAACTCAAAATTTTTGGTCGAAAACCAAATCGGTCGAGAACCGAGACGTTCGAAAACCGAGGTTTGACTGTTGAAGAAAAAAGCAGTTGTGAGCCACATTTCCACCAAAAATATTTTTCATCCATATTTCCACCAGGACCACCTGTCACCAAAAAAAACAATTTTCACCCACATGCCAGAGGCTCATTTCTCCTCCGTATCCACCAAATCTATCTGCATCGCACATTTCCACCAAAACCACTCTTCACCCAGTTTTCTATCAAAACCTCATTTCGCCCATTGTTGCACCAATATCATTTTTGTCCCATATATCCATCGAAACCTACGTTCCAACACATTTGCTCACAAATTACCTTTCAATCATTGAATCTACGAGTTTCAAAAACACTGAACACAAGTGATCTTGCCCCAAAGCAAAAAGTCCACCAAAACAATTTTATGCCCACCAAAACCACCTGTCACACACATTTCCACCAAAATCAGCAGTTCACTGAACATAAAAAAACCCACCTTACCTTCTGCCAAAACCCACCTCAACCGTATTCGAACGAACAAACCAGCTCTCAAAAGAAACTACAGTCATACCTCGGTTTTCGATCATAATCCATTCCAGAAGGCTGTTCGAAAAGCGATTTGTTCAAAATCCGAAACTATTTTATCAGCCCATGATTAGAGGCTAAGACACAATGCAGAAATAACATAAAAACAGTCAAGATTTGCGTAAATGACAACAAACACGTCTGCTCACAATGAGCGCTACACAAGGAATAAGGAAGCCTAGAGGAGACAAGTGGCATATTCGGGTTTGCTGAGTTTGGTCGAAAACCAGTTTTTGGTCGTAATCTGTGGTGTAAAAATCTCAAATTTTCTGGTCGAAAACCGATTTGGTCGAGAACAGAGACATTCGAAAACCGAGGTTTGACTGTCCATTTAAAAAGCAAAAGTCAAACCGAAACCAAAACTAACTATAAAACCCATGAACTATTTCAACCCGGGTTGGATGTCAACTAAAGTTCATCATTTTCTGCTAATTCGCTGTGGTCGGGTACTTACAGAATTGTGTGTTCCAGATGGGAGTCCTCCAGAAACAGGCGTGGACCACAGACAGGTGCAGCGGGAACTTGGCGAGGTGTCGGTTTACCTTTCAAAGCCTGTCGTTCTGTCTCCCACCAGCGCCAAGATTTCTTGGACCGTGAGTCGTACAGGCAGAGTGGAAAAAAAATGCGCTTATCTTCCCCAAAAGCGCCTCCAACATGGTCGCATCATGAAATTTCTGCTTCTTCCGCATCAACTCCCTGCAGGTGGCCCGTCATTCCCAAAACGTTCAGGGTTACCGCGTGTTTTACCGTACCGTCGGCAGCTCCTGGCTGGTCCAGGATGTGGAGGCCACGTCGGACCACAGCGCCGTCTTAGAGGATTTGCTCCGCAACACTGAATATGAGGTGAAGATAAGGCCTTACTTCAATGAGCTGCAGGGTCACGACAGCCTCATGGTGTTGCTGCGCACCCCGGAGGAAGGTAAACGACACCACGGGCAAGAATTCAACACAATTCAAATCACAACAGAAGGATTTCTCAGGGCTCTTTACATGTGGAGCAGGTCTGGCGCAGAGGAAAAACTGCCGCTAATGGAAAATGTGCATGCTTGATGGCAACGATAAATTACTATTTCAGTGCCGTTCTTTTCTTCTCACTCTGCAGTGTTGAGCGCGGCGCCGCAAGCGGTGTCGGTGGTGCAGCTCACCAACAGCTCCAGTATCAGCGTGTCCTGGGAGCCGCCGCCTCGTAGCGCTTATAGCGGCGTCGTTCGAGAGTACAAGGTGAGGACTTTACGGTTTCCGTTGTTAAAGCGACAATCTGACCTAAAAACGGTACCTTGAATCACCCACTTGAGACACTTGGTTAATTATTAATATTCTCTGCAATAAAAGTTGATTCAATACTGTTTTTGAAGTAAAGTGATTCTGTTCAATTCGGTGGGATTACGGTTCGATTCAGTGTGATCCAGCTCACTTGAGGATTGGAATGTGTTTCTAATCACTTGACATGAACTTGTCTGTCACGGCCCACGATATTTCGTGGCCGCTAATTGCATTTTTTTTTTTTTTTTTTGTTATGAGGATTAATCTTTGTGCTCTCCACAAGCTCCTCCCTGATTGGTGGCCCTCGTCCCCAACTCAGCCCACCAATCAGTGTAGGGGAGAGTGGCCTCATTAGCTGTTGGTTTCTGTTGTGCCACCAAGTACACTCATTAAACCACCACAAATGACTTGCTTTCAGAGGTGGCTGGCTGTGTCGCGTGTGTGTTGTCTTGTTGTGCGTGTTAGCCAGTCCCTGTGTAATTGTGCCGCTGTCTTTTGTTGAGTGCATCGTATTCGTTCTTTGCCATAGCTATTCACTCATTTAGCCACATCAATTTTTTGTGTGTTCTAGGACCTTCGCAGTAACTAGCGTTGGTTCATTTGTTCAGTTAATTCGCCGGTCGCACTGAGGCATCCGGTTTTGGGAAGGTTGCTCAACTGAGAGTATAGTGTCACGTGTGTCTCGGTTAAGTTGTCCCCAACCCAAGTCAGCACTCGTGTGTGTTTAGACAACCAAAACCTTAATAGTTGCGCTCACATATTTGACATCAAAAACGGTTTTCAGATTCAATTTGGTTTTTGTCGTCACACCCCAAATAAAAATGTCTATTGGTAAATACTGTAAATTACCATACGCACGCACGCACGCACACACACACACAGACACACACACACACACAGTTTATGATTTTATCAAATGACTGCCCCTAAATGGTGGCATTTTTCCCCTGAAATTTGAGACCGTGCAAGTAAATGTTTTTTTATCTACTTGTGCATGCGCGACCAGTAAATTTGAAGTGGGATTTATTTTCAGTCATAGAAGAAGATTAAAAAATACAAAAAAATGAAAAAAATGTATTCAGGTTAAAAATGAAAGCGCAGAAGCAAATCTTATCAAGTTAAGGCCTCACATAAAACCACTGTGCAATATGTAAAATAAGACTTTTATATTCATGGCTGAAGAAATAAATACTGTAACGTAGCTAGCTTTGATGCTCCTGACCTTGACTAGTGCACATTTTTCCTGGACTTGACCTCCTTCAATTATAATGGTTTATAATCATTTTAAACTAGGCAGCACACTGTCGTAATTTGTGATTGCATTCGTGCTGACGTTGCTGTCCACAGTAACGGTCATTCAATGGTCGGATGACTTATTAGCATTTAGCATGTACATTGACTGGAATGTCTTCAGAGCCTGTTATTGTCACGGTTTCTTTTGCTGCCCGCTACTTGTTATATAACCAACTTGGTCAGCGTGTTGACATTTGTACCCCTGCCTGTTCGCATTCATCGCAGCAATGCAGTATGGGGAAGCAGCGCAGTTCTCCCTGACCGCAGCTTTAATTCATGCATTTAAGTCATTGGGAGCAGCTGGGCGTGGCGGGATGAAAATGGAGCCGACGTTTTTTTGAAATCCACCTTTGCTCTGTATCTCAACATTTGCATTTTGAAATTGGTGATTACTCACGTCCTCTTATCTGCTGCCAGTACATGCTGTTGTCATCGCGTTCTCAGCTCCACTGTGCCTGTCATCTACTCTCAGCACGCTGATAAAAAAATAAAAAGGCAGCGTTCTGATTATCTACTCTCTCCCAGTGTGAGCGCCATGCCGATGACTCAGACTTGAGACCTCATTTCTGAGAAGAAAAGAAAAAAAAAAAAGAACATTAAAGCAGAGCACAGACTTGTATTGTTTCGATTCCGTGTGCACGTCTGTCTGTGATATTGTAATGAGAAGAAGTGCGATTGTGATCTGCCTCAGGCAAGGATCACTTTTAATCCCCTTAAACTACTCGCCATGTTTGCTCCAACTCTCCCTCTGGTTTAAATGCAGACTCTAAATATTGATTCGGGTAGAACTCTTTTGCATATATAACAAAATTTTCTTCTCTATTTTATGTAGTCACCACAGTAACGTCAAGACCAGCAGTGTGCTCATTAGTCACACTACTGCTTCACCAGGCACAATTCTCAAGCCACTTTCCAAAAAGAATACTTGTTTTGTTTTTTTTTCGATCGAAGTAACAACCTGCTTTTTTTTTTTTTTTTTAATTGTGTGTGTGTGGGTTGTGTTCAGGTGTGGTGTGTGAGCAGCAGCTTGGACCAGGAGAAGCACGTCAACCGAACAGTGGACGGAGCCGTCGTGTCCATCCTGCTCACCGGCTTGCTACCTGACGTGCGCTACGCCGTCACCGTGGCCGCCGTCACCAGCCTGGGCGTCGGCACCCCCAGCTCACCTGTCCACCTTGTCCTCAGTGAGTCACACCCATTGGCTCGACTAATTAACTCTCTTGTACTGTCGTTATTTTATATGATCAGCATGATTGGTGTTTCTAATTTTCATGTTTCTGATTTATTAGTAGTTTTTGTTTTATTCATCCATTTAATTATCACCATTGTCTAGCTTTTTATTAAATTATTAACAATCCCTTTGTTTTTTATTTTATGACTTGATTTATTTTAGAACACCCTGATTGTAGTTATTTTTAATATTTCCATTTAATGATCTATCTACTTGTAAAAATATATATAAAACACAGCTCTGTATATTTCATTTCTATTTTATTTGCATTGATTTTTTTATACAACGATTTTACTGATTATTTTCATCTATTTACTTCGTGAATCATCTTTTTTAGTTGCTCTATTGTATTTCATTTTTTGAAAATGTAGCTATCTAGCTAGCCATCCAGCTAGTTGGCTAGCCATGTATTTATCTATCTCCAGTAGTTACTGCTTTCTATGTATGTGTGCTTGTGTGTGTGTGTGTGTGTAATATATTTCACACACACACACACACACACACACACACACACACGCACACACACACACACACACACACACACACACACACGTACTGTATATATATAAAATAAATGTCACACACACACACACACACACACACACACACACACACACACACACACACACACACATACCTATCTTTCTACCTACATACCTGTCTGTCTGTCCACCTGTATCTGTCTATATGACTGTCTCTCCATCTTTATAACTAGTTTTCATTATTTCTCTATTTACCCATTTTTCCATCATGTTTATTATTTATTTGTTGTTCTTTACTCATCATTTTCAAAATGCATTTGTTTTATCGTTTGTATTCTTTGTAGTCGTCTCCAGCTGTGTGCCTTTATTTTCTTTTTTATGCTCATTTCTAAAATTAATACAATTGTTAGTTTTGTTGTTGTTGTTGTGGTTCACACTTACTGCTTACTTTCGTGCAACTGGCAAGTGATTGATTCCCACTCAGTGGCCTTGCGATTGACTGGTAACCAGTTGAGTGTTGTTCACCTTAAACTTGGACAGGCTGCAGGACCTTGACTCTAACTGTGTGCTCATCCCTCAGCTCCGCCGGTGGGCTACACCTCCACGCCGGTGAGGAAAGGCGCCGGTGGCGACGTGAGCATCTCGGAGCAGATCACCGTGGTGGTGCGGCAGCCGGCCTTCATCGCCGGGCTGGGTATGGCCGCCTGGTTGGCTCTGATGGGCCTCAGCGGGTGGTTCTACTGTCGCCACCGCCGCAGGAAACAGCTGGGCCACTACACCACGTCCTTCGCGTACACACCGGCTGGTAAGAAGAAGAAGAAAACATTTATTTGTCTAACAATGGAGAAATTTGCAATCAAACCACATATAGCAAAGGCCACGTTTACAAAGCTTCAACGTCAATAGCTTTTTTTTTTTTTGGTCATGGATGCCCCCAAACCTTTAAATTTGTAGAGAAAACCTCATATTTCATGCGTTAGTTTAACTAAATAGACTTCACTGTTGTTGTCATTTGGCAGCTAGCTTGAACAAAGAGCATAGGCAGCACTTTTCCAAGTTTTTTGCCTCAGTTAATGTAATATGGACTCTAAACACATAAAAAAAAACTATTTCTCCTACCTATGAAAAGCAATAACACACAGTCCTTTGTCGATTGAGGTTTTCTGCAACGCCAAGCAGAAGCGTGAATCGGTACTGTTGCTGAGATGATGACAAAATTATCATTCCAGTCAGTCGTGTCGTGAATGGAAGAATGTGAACAATGTATGCCTGGGTGTTGAAAGGTGCAACAACATTCTGAAGACAACAAAACACATTCAAAGCCAGCATTTGACAAGCTCTGGCGATGAGTTTTGCTTTTGTGTTTTTTGATTGGCTGTTCCTTTTACTTACTGTTTTAAAACATTTCTGATACCTCGCCCTGGCTCAGTATCAAATTTAGAATAGGTTCGTTGGAGATAGGCACTCAGAAATGAAACACAAGAGACAAATCTGCTACTAACAAATTGCACGTTTATTAGCGCCACAGAATATGTCAAACAAGCAAATATCAGTGTATCGAGCTCTTAGAATAGTACCTAGCTCTTACCGTGCGTCAATAGGATGGAGAGCCAACACCCCAGGTAGAGCGAGCTTCAATACCACTCTGGACTTTTGACTCCGCTGACTCTGGACTCTGCTGATTCTCGACTCTCCTAATTCTCGGCTCTACTAAGAGTATCCGAAGTTCTCCTTTTATAGTCTAAGCGTGCCTGACGTCACGCTATCTTTGTTCTTAACAAATGACATTGCTCATCATCATAAACATCCTATGACATTGCTGTTTATACAAAGACTACAAAGCTATTGCGAGCCATTGCAGCACAAAGCTATTGCGAGTTATTGCGGCACAAAGCTATTGCGAAACATCTTTAAACATGGAAAAACAACACAATATAATTATTCTTACTTCACTTACGTTTCTTTTTTTAATTTGCTGTTGGTTTTTTTTTAATCCTGTTTTTATATGTTCTTGTGGTTTTTGTTTTGTTTTTTGTTGAATTGTTGAATAGTTTGTGTGTGTGTGTGTGTGTGTGTGTGTGCGCGTGTGTGTGTGTGTGTGTGTGTGTGTGTGTGTGTGTGTGTGTGTGTGTGTTTTCTTACATTTGCTTGTATTTAATTTTATTTTTTAATCGAATCCGGCTCCGGTCTTCCTGTGTGAAGTTGTGGGTTTTCTCCGGGTACTCCGGTATTCACTCCTATTCCAATGCCTGGTAGCTTGGAACACTTTAGTCCCAAAGTGTGACTGTGAGTATGAGAGTGAATGATTGTTGTTCGTCTCTGTGTGCCCTGCAATTGGTTTCAGGGTGTACTTTGCCCACTGCCAGAAGACAGCTGGGATAGGGTCCAACACACCCGCAAAGTTCATCAGGAAAAGCGGCTCGGATAATAGATATATGGAATTTGCGGATGTTTTCTTTTTTTGTTGTTTTTTTGCTGTTGTTTGTTTATTTATTTATTTATTTTTTTGCTCTTGTGTTTAGATACAGTATGTTGCTGTGTTTTGTACCACCATAAGGAAGAGGCATTTTACAGTAGCGTATATCACAAACGACACTGGCTTACACTCAGTATATCCGATCTGTGTTTACTCAGTTTTTGCACTGGCAGATGACATTTAACAGGTTTTTATTCACATTTGTAAAAGACCTGAATCTGAAGGAAGCAGTTTCCGTGCATAGTTTTTTTATTTTTTCCTAATTACGCTGTCATGACACAAATCCCATCTGTGCAAACCCCCGGCCCCTCAAAAAAATAACGTGTCACTTGAACCATGCAGTTTAAATCCAGCCAAAGTGAACTCGGGTTGAACCTCTGCAATTTGACACTTTCTATTTCGAGGTGTGGGGTGTCGTTCAAAGTCAAAAGGATGTCTGTGACTTCAGGTGTCACTTCCGTTCAAAAGAGCCCCCACCTCCAATGCCATTGTGACACATTTTCATCAAAACAGCTCGTGGAAAAGTTCTTATTAGACCTCATGGGACATGCTCAAAGCGTCATGTCATTGTTGGCTGATTCAAGTGTATTTGTTTCATTGAGGTAGCAAAACAAATAGTACTGAAGCAACCTGTGACAACTTTAATTTAGAACAAGCCCTCTGGTGCATGAGCTCATCTGTTTGATGTTAAGAAAGACTTTCTGTGTTGGAATTTTGTTGTATGCTTCAGTAAACGCCACAACCGAAAACCAAGAAAACTATTCGTTCCATCACAATTGTTTTGAAATGTCACCGGATTGTCTTGTCTTTGTTTTGTTTATAACAGCTGTAACTCTGTATCAATTCTCAAACTTTTACAACTCAAGGCCCAATTCAGAAACATGATTTCCTACCGGGACCGTTACAATCACTTTCATCCATAGAAAGCCCCAAATTTGTGCACGTGTGATAATTGAAATTTAATGGCGACTTATTGAAAAATTGACCTGACTAATTTTGAGTCCCAAGTTTCGTTGAAATCCCTTTAATGCTGTTGAAATTGTTTTAAAATCTTGTCATTTTTTACAACTTCATGTTTTCAAAACATGACTTATGCATCCTACTTTTTTCCCCCCTTCCTTTAGTTGGCTTTGCTCACGGTGAAGGAACTGAAATCATCAATGGAGGGTAAAGAATATGCTTTCAAATTGAGCTCTTATGACTGTTTTCATGTTCATGTTGTCATATACAAATGCATGTCAATAGATGAGAAAAGCGTTTATTGCAGTTACTGTAGTTCGATTTTTTTAAAAAAGTGAAACTCATGTACTCTCCGTGGAGTAAACAATTTCATGATGTAATTTTTATTTTGAAAATTACAGCTTGCGTTGAACAAAAATCCAATATTCACTTTTTCAATAAATGTGAATATTACCTTTGAAATAATCCAAATTAATTTTGATATAGAAACGAGGTACTCGATGACTTTTCCGAATGTTTTTTATCCCCTTTATGTTTACTGAATCTGTGTAATTTGCGTTTCACTCTTTTGGTTGAGCTACTGCAATAACAAAACTTTTTGACCAGATTTAAATTCATCACTTGTACTCTTTCAACTAATTTTGCCTTCACAATGATAACACATCCCATTTGCACTTTCAATACCAACGCAAACCACAACCACAATACTAAACGTGATGAGGATTCCCGCTTTGCTTATTGATATTGATTCACCTGTCCGGCCTTTCTTCCAGGCCGGGCATGTTGGGATCAAACATGGGCAACTTCCCGTGGCTGGCCGACTCGTGGCCCGCTCCTAACTTGATGCACAACAGCAAAGATTCCATCAACTGCTGTTCCGACAAACTAAACTCGGAGAAATACTACAACGGTAAGAAAGTGTGGGCGTGAACACTTGCACACGTGATTTTTTTTTTTTTTTTGGGTGGGGGTGTATAGTGTTCCACATTTCTGTGCAGCTGTCGGTATGGCCAACTACCACTCGGAGAAGCGCAACATGGCATCCGGCGACAGTCCCATCTACAGCACCATCAACGCGGCGGCCGAGGAGGACCTGCTGAGCTATTACGACACCTACTCCAGCGCCTCCTACAAACAGGGGCCCGACCCGTATAGCAGCAGCCCGGCACTGTCCAACAGTGGCCTGGTGGCTCTGGAGCAGGACTTGGACCAGTGGACTGCCCAATCGGGAAACTCCACCTCAGAATACGCCAAGCTGCACTACACCAAGAAGAGCAACGGTGAATGGATTGCTGTTTTTTTTTTCATGAAGACCGAACAAGGTTGCAGAATGTATTGGTTGAACATCTGCTGCTGTCCTGGCAACCACCAGGAAACTCTGCCAAGCGACAGTCTAAGCCCGAGAGGCATAACAATAAGATGTCCTTGCTTCGGTGAATACCATTCCATGTCTGAACACTAAACTCAATTCAATTTTATTTATAAGGCACTCGAAGAACAACCGCAGCTGAAATCAGACGCTGGTGTAAATACTGGAAATACAAAAAAATGAAGACAATTGAACATTATTTAGAAACAATTCAACAAGGGCACAGTCTCAAGCTGCGTTAAAAGTCAAAGAATACAAACAGGTATTGAGTTGTTTTTTAAACACACTACTTTTGTTTCTTTGTTTCAATTTGCGTATCCACAAATAGCTGCAAAAATTAAGTACAAAAGACTGGTCGTGATATAGAAGAGTTATTTTTTTTTCCCGGAAAAAAAGCATTTTAACATTCTTAACTTGCAATCTTGTGCGAAAATAAGTTGTTGATACTAAATTCAAATGAAACAATAAATTGCTCAGTCTTAGTGTTGGTCATGTAGGTGTAACGCATAGCCGGATTAAAAACCAATCGTCAAAACAGCCCACCTAAAGATTGATTAGTGTTGCAAAAAAAAAATTAAAATAACACAAAGCAGAGGCCATTCATTTGAATCCGCATGTGACGCTCGCTGAACTGAGGTCTCGCATGATATGAGCTGATTGCGTGATGTCATCCATAGCGGTAGTCCATATTTTGGGATAATAATTGCAAAAAAAAAAAAAAAAAAAAAACCGAAATAAAACTCCAAAATAATTAGTCAATGCAACGATTCGCACTGAGCTCAGTATGCCTTCCATACTTGATGTCCTTGAAGCTGGAAAAAAAAATGTCACCAAGAGAAGAGCGTGCTTCATGCCCGAACAGGTTGAGCAAGTGGACTGAAATGGTCATTGAAGCATGCTATCATGATTGTACTCTTGACAGAGAAACTGGTCAAGCAGAGATCCAACGGGTCGGTATGCACGCCAGCGCCTCTCACCTGGGTGGACGTGCTGTCTCTTCCTCTTCCTGCCAACAAGAACGGACATCGCCCAGAGGTGGACGGCGGGGACCAGTGCAGGTAAGACGGCTATCAACCTTCCCCTTCCTTCTTTAAAGGACAAGGACATACACGAACACAGGTGGTCATTTGCATAATAACCACCTTACAATGAGTATCGCCGCCAATGACATGACCGGCGAAGGTGGGTGAACTTCCGGAGCCACTTTCAAGTAAGGAGAGGAGTTTGTTGGGAATCTCCATATGCTGCACACAGTGCAGTGCAGTGATCCTTCACCGGGTTGCCCTGTGAGACTATCAGGTGTGCTGTGGGAAATACCTGTAATCTAAATTCACTTCATTTACTGACAGTTTTGGGGGCGGATATTCGCAACAGGGCCCTATTGAACAGTAAAATAGCACCCCATCAAAATGTTGATCATTTCTAGCAGGGTTCAAGAGGACACAGAGTTAAATGCATACAAACTTCTAATCCCACTACAGTGATCCTTCGATATTTCGCGGTTCGTTCGTTTATCGCGGTTTCAGTGCATCGTGAATTTTTTCAAACATATTCATAAAAAATTTTAAGTCCGCAAAAGGTCCGCGAGAAGCAGCGAAAGTCAGCAAAACAACAGCGAGTCACATAGAGCAACATATACTGTACTACATGTATATGTTTACTGTATTTTGTTATTCATAATTATTATTTTACTTTATGTTAACTGTTTTGTTAAGCGCTTTGTTACAGCTGCCGCTGTTGTGAAAGTGCTATAAAAATCAGCATGTATTGTATTGTATAAACTAACCTAACTTATACATGTTTAAATCTATTAGTATACAGCATTAAGTCATGATAATTACTTCAAAATTTACTTCTACATGCATGTATACCATTAAATTTGGCCTTAAAAATATTATGTACATTTACCGATATGGAGGGGGGGGGGGGTCGCTACTTCGCGTCTTTTCTTTTATCGCGGGGGGTTTTGGTCCCCATTAACCGGGATAAACGAGGGATTACTGTAATGCAATATGCAAGCCTACCCATCAGTGCTTTCCCCCTTAACCTGCCCACTGCATTTCGGATGTAATGCCCCCGTCCCACTCACCTCGCACTCTCCACCCGACCTCCACATGTGTTAGTCTGTGTCGTGTCTGAATGTGTATTTGCCTGTTTACTGAGGTGTCTTTTTTTTATCCATACTTTGCTGACCTCAGAGGAGTTTAGTCTTTTTTTTTTGTTCCCTCTCCTTTGTTATTTTATAAATATCGTGATTTGGGTGGGGGCGGGGAGGACTGCAGTTTTATTGAAGATTGCAGCAGTTGCCTGTCTAACTTATTCAAAGCAAACTTTTGAGTGAGTGTGGCTTGAGCAAATGAACATGCAGTGGTGTCTGCAGTCGGCGCTCTGTGGTTCCCGAGTGTTTTGCGTCTCTTCTAACTACTTGTGACAGGTTGGATTGCAGACAGAACGACGTGGCATGGCAGGGTTGCTCTGACCGTGCCGTGTCTTTACTGATGGCATTAGCCGTAATCTGACAAAATGAATTAACTCATTGTGTTTTGCAGCGACATGTCCGACATTTAATTGAGCCTGTTGGCACTGACAATGTTAGTCACAAAAGTGCTCCTGGTACTTTGAAATGAAAGCAACTCTAAGGAAATGCTGTTTGGAGACCGCCATGTTATAGATATTTAGTTAGTTACCCTTCCCTCATGTGGTGAAAACATCATTAAAAAACAATCACTATAAACCACAGGTTTACGTGATAAAGCCGGGATTTCTTGGAGCTGAATTTGCCTTTATTTTGTAAAGATCTTATTTGTTTATTTTCCAATTCATATTTTATTTTATTTGACATTCGTTTTCTGGGAAGAAAAAAAAAAAAAAACGAAATTACTCACCACTTTTTTTCCCCCACTGAGTACTTTTTTACTCTTGTGAAAATTATTTTTATGAAGGACTGTTTTTGTATTTGAGTGATATTCTTCCCTAACCATTTTTGGCCACTCTACCCACCTGCGGTTATTAATACAACATTCTAGCAGCTGCTTTCCTTTTAGAAAATACATTACAGATTTTTATTTAAATGTGAACTTCTATCCTTAAGGCACCACTGTATATGTATGAGCTGGTTCTATGAAATTATACTGTTTTTAGAGGTTGGGCTACATGTGTCTGGGCCATGACTGTGAAGGGTTTAATGTGCAGATACTGTCCCTCAATGTGTGCTCCAAAAAGGTCTGCTATGTACTGTACTGGGGGACCAGTAGAGTAGGAGATCACACTTCACCATAAAAAAAAATGTTCGCACCTAGCCTACGTATGCTAATCCTCGCGGAACACAATGTGCGTCCTGGCTTGTCCATCAACATTCTGTATCAGTGAAGTAGATGAAATCATTTACAATGCAGTTTCTTACCATTACTAACCCAAACCCGAACAAACAAGCAGTAAAAAAAGAGTCGTGAGGTGTTCTGAATATCCAGCCCTTGCCTTTCAGACAACCACTTGTACTGCAGTGTCTTATCTTTGTGGTCTTGTAGCTCCGGGGAGGAAGACGACGACTGGTGTCCCCCGCTGCCCGCCAGAACCTATCTGATGGACGAACCTTCCGCCGCCCTCCAGCCGTTACACTCTGCTACGTCCTCCCCTCAGCGAGACCCGTTGAACCCCACCGACAGTCCCCGTCCGCAGCACGTGGACCTGCTGGCTAGTCAGCACTCCTACTTTTCCCAGTCCAACCCGGATCTGTTCACCAAGACCGCTGAGGTGCACCATGGTAGCAGCCGCTGGGCAGAAACCTTGAGGGGCAACGGCTTCTCCAAAGGTCAGTGGAAACCGGGCCTTATGTGAGGCAAAAATCAGATCCCATATATTTTTCAAGCTCTTTGGATCCTCGAGGCTGATAACCACGCGTTCTTGTCAGGACAATCTCATGCCGCGCTCGGCGATTTGAGCCCCGCGGCTCTGGCGCACAGAGGCAGGAACAAGAAGAAATCCCCCAAGGATGGAACACTCAGGCGGGAGCCACACAGCCAAGCAGGTATCACGGACCCTGTAGCATTGTCTGTCCTTTAGCGCCACCATGACACTGAAATGTAGGCCAATGTATCAAATTAAGTCTAATGTCGTAAAAACAACAAAAAAATGTATGAAACACTGCAATAATAGCGCAGTCAGAGCATTACGAGGTTGAAGAGATCAATGTAGCTTTATTTATGTTAAAAAAAAAGGCCTTTTTATGTTAAAAGAAAAAAAAAGACCGACTAATCCTTTAAAATCCCCGTAAAGCAAACATAAAGAGACCATGACACACGACAGAGAAGAGTGTTGTGCACAACCCTGTCAAAGTATATAAAATAAGGCTTCAAAATGGTGAGAAATGAAGCTGTTCTCTGCCTCGACGCGTCTGCTCTACACACTGAAACCACACCGAGGTCACGTGTCAATCAAATGACATCAGGATGGGGCAGCAATCGGGAAATTCAGGGCAACTCGTGAATGGCTAAACAATCCCAATTTTTTTTTTTTGTCAGTAAGTTTGACTGTCGTGCGATCACCTGGCAATTGTGAGCCAATCAAACTGTTTCAAACAACTTTTCCAAAATGCACGGACAGAACAGTACCTCTGTTCTTCATAATGCCAGCTCAAACCTGTTGTGTCATGAGTTGCAAGACCGTGGCTTTAGTAACATTACGTCGCACTACCAAACCAAACACAACACATCCTTGGACTAAACAGACGACTTGATAGTCGACAAATCTCTTTCGTTTAAACCACAAAAATGATCAGGAATCACGAATCCTTTTCGGCCATCGGCTGTGCACCGTGGGCCTCTTCATCTCAAATTCCTGGGCTGAATTTGGCGCCCAGTGAGTCCCCGAATACCACAAACCTTCCTTGTGCCCACATATCCGAATACCGTATTTTCCTCATTAAAAGGCGCACCTAAAAGCCTTCCATTTTCTTAAAAGCTCACAGCGCGCCTTAAAATCCAATGCGCCCTTGTGTATGGTTATTACGGTAATATGTCGACCCCAAAATGGCTCCTTGCTGGTGACATGCTTCCAACGCAGAGTTCAAACTTAAGGCGATCGGTTACGCAGTTGAACACGGAAATAGAGCAGAAGCAAGAGAGTTCAATGTTAACGAGTCAATGTTATAACTTGCTGTTGGTTACGTGAACTGTGTCGCTGCTTTATTAAATAAGTTTTACTGACATTTGATCATTCTGGAGCAACGTTCATTTTATTTTACCATATTCATGTTTGAACAAGCGGTTTCCATGTTCATCCTCTTAATGTGTTTTGAAATGCACTTTCAGAATGAAAAATAAGCATCATCGAATGAACCAGATGAGATTAAAGCGTCTCGAGCATTTGTTTAAAACATATACAATAGATACAATGCACATGGTATGCCTAAAGTAGGTGATATTTAAAGGCATCTGTGGCCATGGGGGCAGCCATCTGCCTCGAGCGGTCTAACCTTTAGGCCTATTTTCCCCCCTAATACGAGTTGTAATTAAGCAGGGTGTTTATTTCCCACATTGCCACAGATTTGCCCCCTCCTCCATCCCCCCCACCCCCTGAGAACTCCTTGCAGCCTCTTGCCAATGTTGTGACCCTCGCAAGCGACAACCATGTCTCCTCCCACCCGAGAGCAGCCGCAAAATGGTCATCACAGGGTAGGTGGATGTAAAGATAACAACAGCTGGATGACTTTTAATGTGATGATCATGTAAATCCACATATCAGGATGGGGGACCTGAACCATCACATTGGGTTTAGCGTTTGACCTATATACAGTATATATGTTGAAATAAAATCACGTGATCCGCTTGTCATTTACAGATGAGAATGTAATCCAGTACGGGTCGTCCAACCAGATGTCCGGCTATGCATCGCTGGTCGGTGTCTTTACCCAGTCCCCAGCTTCTGGACAGGTAATGAGCGAACCATCTAGCTGCTAGTCATACACACCACTGACTCAATTTGGAAATCCATGTATAATCATGTTGTTGCATTATTACGTTATGCTTATCCGAACAGCATAATAGCCAAAATTGTAACTCACGTTTCTGCCTAGCGACAAGGACCAGGAAAAACAATGATAAAAATGGTTTTTATTTGCCAATACAGTGGTACCTCTACTTATAAAATTAATTGGTTCTGGAAGAAATTTCTTAACTTGAAAATGTTGTAAGTAGAGACGCGTTTTCCATGTAATTGCCCTAATTTGTTCCAAGCCCTACCAAAATTCAGACATAAATGTTTCCTAAAGCATAACAATGCATCAAAATGCATAACAAATACATGTTACAATTAAAATTTCCAAGGCAAACATCAGCATAGTGAGCGATCGCCCGACTGGTGAGCACGTTTTCTGGGTGATTCACATTTACGTAAAACTATCGGAACATCTCATAGCCCGAGGAGCGAATGATGAGGACGCTGCCTAGACACAAATCTATCTATCCACACACATAGACACATTCGATAGAGGCCCCTCTTAGCCAATGGGATACCAGGATGATGCTCAGTAGTAGCCAGTGGCAGAGCAGCTACGAGTGTGTTGCGTTCAGGAACCTCGCACCTGCGATTAGCAGCCCAGACTGTATTTTTACCTTTCGTATCTTGACATTTCTTTCATAACAAGAGGCAATATTTTCGTGTTGAGGCATTTCGTAACTTTAGGAAAAACAATTAATTAAAGCATTCCTGTCCATCTGCATTTGGAGATGGGGATAACATAAGCAAGCTGCTTCCATTACATAGCCACGTATCATGTTAGTGTCGCTAACTGTGCTACTTTTGTTTCCTTCCAGAACCTTATGTGAGCCGACATCCTCTCAATATCCTTCTTTGTGAGCCATCCATTAAAAAAAGTGTGAAAAATAAATGAAGGACTTCACATCCAAGCTGTCTGTAAAATGTCCAGACTCAATCCATGGGACCTTTTCACAATTCCTACAGTGTTTTGTCATCCTGGATTATTGAAATGAAAATAAAGTGTATATATTAGCTCATGCTAATCCATAGCCACCATTAAATTGTGCACATCTACGACATAGTGACAGGCGTGTGCATCTGTGTGTTTAATGTTTGCATTGACTGTGTGCCAAAGTCAGGAGGCCACAACAGTGACGGTGTGCTGTCTAAGAGGTATTTGCTTTTGTATTCTCTGCTGCTATTAAAACGCACGCACGCACGCACGCACACGCACGCACGCACACACACACACACACACACACACACACACACACACACACACACACACACACACACACACAAAACACTTGACCTGTGAGCAACACTATCAAACCATTGGCATGCAACAGCGCCCACTGGTGGCCCAGATGGGAATTTGACCACATGCAAATGACTGGGACAATGAAAATTAATTAATAGCAAATGGTTGTGAAATGAACCGGTATTCTAAACTCATATAGTAACAAATAGTTTCGTTTATGTAAGACTTTTCATATTTCTTTAGTCTATTTTTATTTTGTATTGGTTAATTTGAAATCACTTCAATACATTAGTCCATTTTAAATATAAAGTATATGAATAAACACTGTTTGTGAAACAAGCAGCTATTTTTCGACTATATTTTAAAGTTTAATTCACTTCATATTTTCTCATTGTATAATTTTATACAAAGACTTCCCAACTGTATAAAACACTTTGTGAAATAAGTGAACGGTATTTTTCACATTTAAATTTTCAATGTATTATTTGTTCATTAATATAATATTCAAGATGTGGATCTCAATTTTGAATATAATATGCATAATTTGAAATTAGTAAACATTAACAATATAGCTGAAATTTCAAGCAACTCGTTTTGTTTATTTATTTGATTCATGGGAAATAATATATACAAACAAATGTTCAATAAATCTCATGTAATAAATGTTACTTCAGGCTCCCCAATAAAATGAATGGATTAACTATTTTACACAGCAATTCCCTTTTAAAGGTATCAAAAATCATTAATTATCCTTAAAATAATACAGATAGTTTATTTTTGTTGCTTTGACAAGGATGCAACCTGACAATAAAGTGGATGTGTATGTCCCTTACTTGTGGTCGTTTATATTTGATCTTATTAAAACGTTGCCCCTCTTTTGTGTGAATGCAATTGCTTCCACTTTTGTTGTATCAGCTACAGGGCAGTATCTGAAAAACGTGCGTGCGAGAGCCAAAAGTCGTTTTGGATCCCGGAGAGAGGATTTTTGAATGTATCGCTGAGAAAATGATGTGAATATTACATTTGAATCATAAAGTGTCAGTGCACGTGTGTACTTATTGATCTGCGTGTCTGTGAATACTGCACTGTTCTGTGACACCCCTGTACATCGCCACTGGCTTTGATCCATTCATTATTTTTTAATAAATCCATTTTTAAAATTCTGGGTGATTGCATGGTGTGTCAGAAAGGTTCCAGGACTGTTTGAAAAGAGATACATTTCATATCCAATGATTTCAATTTTCACAATTTGGTTGTAATCCCCACAATCGAGTCATTCTGACAAAGTCCATTTAGGAGTAAATTAAGACGAGCTCATCATTACATGGTTTCAGATTCTTACCTTGAGTGACATCTGCCACCGTCTTTTGCTCCACTTGCTCACTAACGTTGAGTCAGGTTCTGAAAAAACACAATGGGAAGGAAGGAAGGAATCACACAAGGAAGAAGCAAAACAAGACGGCTGTGGACGGAGACTACTTTTTGAAGGCGATTACTGCGTCCTCATGTGGACATATAATGGTACTGCAACCATCATCATCATCATCATCATCATCATCATTATCATCATCGTCGCTAAACCCAAACTATAATAACTTCACAACACTAATTTTGAAACCCAACCCTCAGAAAAAAAACATACTCATGAACCTATTTTAAAATTCTACTTTGAAAGCCTCAACTTAGTTTAGAACACTACTGTAAAACCCTAATCCTATTGTTAAACCCTGGCCCTAGTTGAAAACTGTGTATAGAAAAACCCTGCCTTCAAACATTAACTACGTTAAACCCCCTGCTTTGAAACCCTAACCGTAAATTGAAACCCTAACCCGAGTTTTAAACTCTACTTTGAAACACTAACCTGAGTTTGACATCCTACTTTAAAACCATAATCTAGTTTAAAACCCTACTTTGAAACCCTAACCTTAGTTTAATATTCAACATTAAAACCCTAATGCTCATTTAAAACCATACTTTGAGACCCTAACCCTCATTTAAAACTCTGCCTTGAAACCTTAACGATAGTTTAAAACCCTACCTTGAAACCCTAACCGTAATTCAAAACCCTCCTTTAAACCCTAACTCTATTTTAAACCCTAATCCGAGTTCAAACCCCTCCTTTGAAACTATAAACGGATTTTTTTTGAAACTTTGAATCCCTAATCAAACTTTAAAACCCTACTTTTAAACCCTAACCCAGGTTTTAAACCCTACTTAGAAACCACAACCTTGATTTAAAATCCTACTTTGAAACCCTAACCCTAGATTAAAACCCTACCTTGAAACCATAACCCCGGATTAGTACATTTATCCTAATTTGTAACCCTACTTCGAACTCAAATCACTTATTTGAAAACCGAACCAATGCCTGGTCTGGTCATCTTGTTTGCCCTTGGTCACAATAACCATTATTATTTGTTTGATATCCAATTTTGCTGACCCCAAGATGAAATCCCAAATTTGAAACCCTAAACCTGGCCTGAAACCCTGACCCTAACCTGAACTCCCAGCCCAAAGTTAATAAATGATATAATAAGAACACAAGGAGTAAATAAGCGATGGGAAATGTTGCGGCACTAAAAAGTCAAAGTTAGCGCTAAATAAGTTTGGTTGACTGGCCAGCAATTGTCCTATAAAGTTTTGGTGGCATTTTCAGCATTTTGAAAGGAAAGCGCACAGTCATCACTTTGGGCTTTCACGGTTTTGTGTTTTCAGCAGATTCCCTCCAACAACAAAACAGCACGCGCGAACGGCGCCCCGCGATTGGTCGCACCCCCACTGTTCGGCGTTTCCCTGCGGCAAACAAAACTTTCCCGACGCTTGCAGCGACACTCGGCCTCGTCTGCATGCGCGTGGACTCATCACCGCGGCGCTTCCACTTTGCGTTGGGAAAGGAAAGCACGCCGGCCAGGTAAGGAAAGCAAAGCATTAAATCTTCGTCATCGAAGTTTCGCATTCAGTCTTTGTCTGAATTTTTTGGGGGGGGGAAACAATTCTTGAAAACATGGGAGGGAAAAACTCGTAATATTGTAATTTCATCTGAACTTTGCCTTGGTTTTTATTTCTAGAAAAAAAATGCATTTCTTCCCAAAATATCGTCCCTACACCCCATTTAAGTATCCCATTTTTATTCAAAGAAAAAAAAATCACTAAAAATTCAGATTGTTTTCTTTCCAAAAATGCTGCTTTTTCACTCCATGCATTATTACAAAGTAAAACGTTTTTTGCACAATAATCTTTGGAAACACGTTTCTCAAAACAGATGAATTTTTCTGAAGAATGCTACTTTTTGTTAAACTTTTCCAGTTTCCAAATTCCAATTTTTGTCTCTGAAAATTGTAACTTTTTTTCCTTTAACATTAGGGTTTTTTTTTTCCCTGAAGATGTTTTTTTTATTAGGACTTTCCTCGCTGTTTTAAAACTTTTTTTCAATTATTTCTCAGAAAAATTTTACTTTTTGTTTCACCATGTTCCAATTTTTGACTGAAAATGGTCACTTCTTTGTCATATTTTGACTTTTTTCTCTCTAAATTAACACTTTCAACTTGAATTAATGGGATTATTTCTCAATAATTCTATTTTATTTCTCAGAAGATAAAGAACACTAAAAACTATCTTGTTTTTTTCACTCTTGCTAATTTTGTTTTTTTTTTAACACTGAAACCCTTCTTTCTGGAATATTTAGATGCTTTTATATATTCTTAAAAAAAAAATTAAATTAAAAAAAGGAGAAAAAAAACAAACCCCTCCACAAACTTTCCTCAGAAAATAAAATGTGGATATGCTCAAAATATGTTGGTAGCTTTCCCGTAATATTAAACTTTTTTCCCCCCATTGATTTTTCACAATTTTATAAATGTTATAGTACTTTTTGATTGTTGTTCATTAAAATTCTTTGGAAAGATGATTTTCTTCCCAGTGTCTTTTTTTTTTTTTTTTTAAATTTAAGCAATCTCACTTCTGTTTCCCCTTATATATGACAACGGTCCACCTACTAGGCAGCTCATCAGGTTGACGTGAAAACACGAGCTCATTTATGTTTTGTGTGTGTGGGGGGGGGGGTCAGTATGTACAGCTTCATGGGAGGCGGCTTGTTCTGCGCCGGAGTAGGCAACATCCTCCTGATCGTCTCCACGGCAACCGACTATTGGATGCAATACCGCCACTCCAGCAATTACATGCATCAGGGCCTGTGGCGCTACTGTGTGCCCGGCAAATGCATGACACACACGGACAGCATCGGTAAGACCAAAACACACACACACGCACAAGTGCATTTGAATTCCATATGAATTTATAATTGATTTGGTAGACTGTGTCATGAAAACCAATACACTGTATCAGCCATGAACATTTCATACTGTATATGGTGTGTGTGTGTGTGTGTGTGTATGTGTGTGTATATATATATATATTTTTTTTTTTTTTTTTTTGTTTTTGTTTTTTCGGGGTAGAATGGAAGACGATTTGAATCGGAAAATGAAGTTATTGATTCCACTTTGAAATGGGCCATCCCCGAATGAAATTTTTTGGGGTGGAGGTTTGTTTGCTGGTGAATGAAGCGAGAGGGGAAAGTGAGAAGTTGCAGCGTTTTGACTGCGCTTGCTTGCATCCCTTCGGTCGGCAGCATACTGGGACGCCACGCGGGCTTTCATGATCCTATCCCTGCTGGCGTGCTTCATCGGCATCGTCATCGGCGTCATGGCCTTCATCCACTATTCCTCCTTTGACGGCTTCGACAAGACCTTCGCTGCCGGAATTCTCTTCTTCATCTCCTGTGAGCACCAAAACAGCACTCCTGCATTCCATCCAGCCTCACT